CACTGTCAGATCGTCCTCGAGCTTCACCTCGTGGACGCGGTCTGTCGCCTCGGGGATGATGCCGCCGCTCGAGTCCAGAGCCGACACGAAGTGGATTGTCATCTTCTCAGGAGCGGCGGCAGTTTCAGGCTGATGGGGGCTCGAAGACCTCGAAGACCTGCGCTTCTTCTTGTCCCTCGCCGACGAAGTGGAAGACTTCCGCTTGTCCTTACGCCGGTCCTTGTCGGCGTTCAGTGCTTTCTTCTCGTTCTTCTTGCCGTCCTTGTCTTTCTTGTCCGCGTCCTTGTCCTTGTCTTTGTCCTTGTGCTTCTCGTCTTTCTGCACTTTCTTGTCGTCCTCCTTGGCGTCCTTGTCTTTCTTGGATTTCTCCTTCTTCTTCTTGTTGGAGTCGCTCGAGGACGAACTCGACCTTTTCTTGTGCTTCCTGCCGTCTCTGTCTTTCTTGACCTTTCGGGCCTTCTTCGACTTCTTGTGCGTCTTGGAAGATGAGGACGAGGAGAGCGCTCGGGCGCGGTCGTCGGCTGCATCGTCCGAATCGTCTCCTTGAATGAGCGCTCCAGCCTGTTTCCAGGCGGCTTCGCTCTTTTTGCGTGCTTTGTACGCATCCACCAAGAATGCGGCTGCGGCAGTCGGCTTCTTGCCGCCCGCCTTCCACTTGTCCAAGGCTTTCTGGACAAACTCGTCGGAAGGAACCTGCGAACACCAAGCTGCCAAGCCATCGGCTTTGATGAGCCCGTCCAGGGCATGCAGGCCACCCACGTAGAGCAGAGCTCCATGGGCAGTCACGCGAGCCAAGTGCTCGTAAAGCATTGCCTTATTGTCTTTCAAGAAGGCCAAGATCCTGGCGAAGGCTTCTTCACAATCCTGCGGCCGATGCTTCGACGTCTCATAGTCGGTTTTTGCGAGGCATTCCACGAAGGCCCTGCCTTCACGGCTGCCTTGCAGCAGCGAGGCCAGAGCGGCCTCCGATGCCGTCGCATCCTCGTTCTTCAAGCCGACTGCGAAAGCCCGAAGAGTCGTAGATAGCATGGAAAACCCGTACGCAGGTCGGCGGGATAGCTCCGAGACCTCCGTTGTGAGGAGCTGTCGCAAGCATGTCTTTGCAAGCATCTCCACGTCGGTGCCGTCGCCATAGAGGAAGTTGCCAGAAGAGGCCGCGTAGGGTCGAAGGAATTTCTTGGCCATCGAGTCGCGGCCAAGAAGTCGACGTGTCGAGGTGCGGCCCTCGCCCTCGTAGCCGGGCGGCGGCGCCTGGTGCTGCAACGGCGACCATGCCGGGTTCCAAGCCTCACGGTCACCATAGCTGTATCCCTTCGTGCCTTTGCCCTTTCCCATGCATCCGCCACCGCCCCACCAGGTGCCGCCAGCCCCGGTGTTGCCCTTGCCCTTGCCGTACTTGCCTTTGCTGAACATCAGTGTAGGACCACCAGCGGAAGTGAGATCCCGTGAGCTTGTAAATGTTTTTGCTTGTAGACAAATGGCTGCGGGCGAGTAAACAAGGCATGCATGCGACATCCTGACGGCCAAGAGCAACGGCTTCGGAGCAGGCAAGACAAGCATCTAAAACCAAATCATGTTGCAGTTGTGGGAAGACGACAAGGAACAGCATCAGCCGTG